AAATAATAATTAATTTAACTTAATTTAACTTTAACAGTTAAAAGAACAGTTAATGTTATAATAATAAGTGGTTGGAGATTTTGCGAAATGATTTCAAGCGTCTCTGTTTGTTAAAATTTTCTAATGATTGATATATGTGACTGGGAAAGTTTGTGTAGACCATATGAAGTATCATCTGTTTGTTAAAAATAAGCGTGAAACATGAAAATAAAGAAAATTAATAATAGACAAAAAGAAAAAAAAGAAAACAGTAGCAGAAAAATGTTTTTCACTTGTAATTGTCGGAACGTAACAAAAATATTAAGCTGTTAATAGAACTGCACCAAGTGTCCAACGCACGATAGTATATTGCACTAAGTGTTCAGTACACGGTAGTATATTGCACTAAGCGTCCAATACACGATAGTGTATATGACACACTGGGAAGATAAAAATAAAAATTATTTATACAACGAAATGGTAACGAAGATAAAAACATATTTAGCATTATGCTACAGTGGAAAATTAATCGTATTTCACCAACCATAAATATTAAATAGTTGGAACACTATTAAGAAAAATATAAATATAATGTATTTGTAAATATAAATATAAAAATATAATTAAGAAAAAATATTTAAGCAAAAATACTTAGAATATTATAATTGTTATGATACTGTATTTCATGGAACAAATAATATCAAATAACTCAATTTGCATATGAACATATGATGGAACTTTAATCACGATACGTCTGAGTTTTCAGGCACAATATCACTAGAGTATTACAGACTGCATATTTTACTATCTTATTTCCTTCGATTTGTTTTTAAAACCCTATGTAATATAAATCTTCGACTACACATCTTGAAAACCTTAGACAACTTCTTTACTAACTTCATCCTCAGAATCAGAGTATGTCTGTTTCCAACTTTACATTCATTTGCATTTTTCAAATGGACAAGATACCAGAAGCGACAAAACGAATGCCATTAATCTTGGATTAATTCGATTATTTAAATACTATGTAATTACGATATTAAATTAAAATAAATTGGTAAATAATATTTATCGATAAATATTCGTACAAAAATCTAGCAACGTTTATTTATTAGGTAATAGGTTATTTTCGTTATTTAGGTAAATATCGATATTTATCTACTATAAAATAATTTATATATTAAAATATAGTAAGGATTTATTAAAATTTGTTCTGCTATCGTCTAATTCTTTGTAGTTGTTCACAAGATATTGTTATACGAATAATACTTTTTAATTTAAAATTCATAATTTTAAGAACGAAGTTAAATCAGAATTTTCATCATTACCCCTGTATAATATATCGTTATTAACTCTGTGCTGCAGCCATTTTTAATAAAATGTTTATTACTAATCTTTTGCACTTCTTGATAACTCTTCTCGTAATAATTCTTCTCAAATAAATATTAATAAAATCTTCCTTCGCATTTGTCATTATACTTATTCTAACTTAGATTCATTATTATTTATTAACATCTTCGTTACTAACTTCCCTTCAATTGCATTTTTAATTAAATTCTGCAATTAATGAAGTGAAACGGAACACAAACGAAATTGAGGGAATGAATAGAACTTAAACGACACGACGAAACCAAAAGGTATATTAAGGTAACCATTTTAAAGCTTGTAATTTCTCGTCTTTGTTGACAGTAGAAAAATGTTGTTCTTCAACTTTTAATTGGACCAAGTAGAAATATGGCAGTGACGAATGAAAATGCATGCTACCTCAGCATAATTAAGCCGCGAATTAATCTTCAGAGGTTATACATTAGAGCTTCAAAGCGGCTAACACCCGGAAAGACATTACTTTGTTTCCTTCCCGCGGCTACTCTCTAGTTTTTCGTTCGCAAACTCGTTAAATAGTTCCATTCATTAATTCTTTTCAAACATCATTTTTATCGTATCGTTTATTAGAATTAAAAGCTTCTACATTCATTTCGTTATTTATTGGAACCTCATTCGATAAAAATCGACTGGAATTAAAATTCCCATATATCTATTGTTTATTTATCGCGCGAATTTCCTATTGTGGCGAAAATCATTGTTTTTCTAAATGTGTTTCACCGCATCGTCAACAATTCGTTGTATCGGACAAATATTTTGTAGAGGATAGAATAACTGTAGAGGAGAATTATTTTGCGTATCTGAATCATGAAATTGTTCAGATCCTCGGGGACATTGTTGCAGGATGAAAATGTAAATCCTGTATCGGAGACTATAGATTTAAACTGAATATGTTGCAGTCAATCGCGAAGAAAAATATAATTGCTTTCATAAGTGCCTCGAAGCAATATTATATTATCGAATTTAGATCTACGTACGATACGAAAATCTGGTTGTTTCACGAATATACACACATGCATATATCACATTGGTTGTACATAATTCGTTGGCGGATATTTAGATCGCGTTTATGCATTACCTGTATAAATTTCGCGGAGTGATTTAGGAATAGGAGAAATTACGAACTTTAATTAAGCACGGATTGCGTCAATTTACTCCCATCCGTACTCGTGTTCCAGATCTATTTGTAAATTGTGAGTTGTGATTAACCTCTTCGTTGTAATTAATTTCTCAATTCTTCACAAGTGATTTGTGTACAGAGACACGAAATTTTTCGTTTCCCAAATAACTGATTCGAAGTTGAGAGCTCCGAAGTTTTTGTATAAAGTTGTATCGATTTTCTAGACTAACAATAAATAAATTAAAATCTTGAGCGACGCAATTAGGAATTTTAATGACGTCCGTGCAACGAATATTCTTACCCTTCAATTTTTATAAAATATGACAGAATAGACCAGGCGAAACCACCTGAAAAAGATAATGATCCAAGAAGTATTTGAAAAAGTTGCAAACAGTATAAAAATATACTTGGTAAAATTGCAAGAAAAAAATCTGAAAACTATTTTGAAAGAATTCTGAGTGGATTTTTATGCAAATTCATACATTTTTCTTTTAGACTAGAACTTAAAATACAGAATCTCGGTGGAAAATCGTTTTAATCATTGTTACTTTGGTTATTTTATACACCTTTCCGCGTTACTTGCATACTCTGTGCAATTTCAAATTTCGCCATAAATGAATCGAGGTCTAGCTGCGAGGAAACAAATTCGTAAATTATTATAGAAAATTACTGTACGTCACTTGCTATCAATTCCGAGATTCAAATATCATATTTGTGATCGACGTGATTGATAGCTAGTTTCATATAAATGAGAGTTGTTGGAAAATTTCGTCCAACCATAGCCGCTGTTCCGACACGTCATTTCTATCATGCGAAAATAACGTTTAAAATTTCGATTAAATGAGATACAAGTGTACATGTGTGCCGTGTGTTGGCATCAAACAGGCAAAGGGGTTGTCGGTAAATATTATACGAAAGCTAATTTCCGTGAAATATCGAGAGTTGCAAAGATATCACTAAATATATAGTATTTTATGGTAGCTTGTGTGCGACAATGAGCAAAGTTTCACTTGAATTCGCGCTGAAAGAATCGAATTTTTGTTCGAATCGATGAGCGTTACCGAAGGATGCTTGCTTTTGGTAACACGATCTCTGATATTTATTTGCAATTGATTAAAGAGCTGTGATTTAATAACATTCGATTTATTTTAAAATGTTTGCCAATTTTCATCGATACTAATTTTGCTACTAACGATATCAATTTCTATTAACGTGTCTTAATTTATTAAATTTATCGATATCGATATATTTCTTCGAAATGTTTTTATTTTATTCATGATAAAGCATTCGATTTCAAACTTATTGCAAGTATTAATCACGCTTTGAACCTGAATTTCCATTTAATTTTTCAAAAAATTCTCTCTTTGACAAATAAATACGCCATGTCGTGAAATTGTTATGTCAAAAACGTAAATTTTATACATGGCTTTTGTCCCTATTGAACCAGCTCTTAACCTTGCTCTCGAAACATAAAATGTACATTCGAAATGTTTCAAAATTTTGTACATGGAATATTTGAAATTTTGAAATATAAATCAGCACTTGTGCTTTTATACAATAGTCAATAGACAATGGATAACAATTTAAAAATTGTACATTTTGCATATAACTTTTTAAACATCAATACAGAAAATAATGTGTTTCGAGCACTGAGCTCTGATTTAATTTCTAATACTTTTTAATAAGTTCAGATCGAGCCTTCAATTATTGGAATTTATATGAAAGAAAATTGTACAATTATACATCTGAAGAATATTATTATTGGCATTAATTACAATTCCAACAAGTATTTAGCCTAACAGTCTAGAACTAAGAATTATGAGCGTCATTTTTACCAGGAAATACGCAATTTCTGTAGTATTTAAAACTTAACTAAAATTTGGTTTCTATTTCTATTGACAGACGTTTCAAATATTCGATTTGTCACAAAGTTATATTTGTACAATGTAGTGGAAACGTTGATATAGATTCTAGAACTTTTGCCAGCTTCTTCAAAAATCGAAAAAATACCAGAAGATTCCAGCTTAAACCTAGACGACCTAGTTTGTCAATGGACCGTGAAAAAATATATTTCTCTTCGTATACTTGGAAGATTAATTTCAGAGTATTGTACGGTCGATCTGAGTGTAAGAGGCTCGCCAGCTATTGCTAGAAATTTACAGTTTCTAAGAATATTTATTGAATAAAATCGACATCTGTAGTACTGATACAAATTGGCAATTTTTATTTTGCATTTTTATTGAATTGACCACTTTACCACACGCGTTATATATTATTTATTTACTTTATTTAGAAATGAATTCTATGCAACTTGCGCAGAAACGTTGCATTTTCTATGTAAAAAAAAAAAAAAAGAGAAAGAAAGTAAGAGAAATGTTTTACATGTACAAAAAGTATTTCTTTGATAAAATGTATCTTTGTCAAGCCCATTCTTTTCATTCATTTCGTTTAAACTCGCTCAAATTACAAGTTTGAAGTTCATTTTCTGAAATGTCGCATTAACTTCACATTCCAGGCAGTTTCGGATCTGTTACTTGGGGTATTCTGCATGCCTTTCACACTCCTCGGACAAGTGCTGAAGAATTTCGTTTTCGGTACTACGATGTGCAAGCTCATACCGTATTTTCAAGGTACGTATCGTTCAATTTAGTTAACAAATATCTCAGATCATTTACATTTCGCGGTTCTCGTTTTCACTTCCGACAGTACAGTTTCGAACGATGAAGTAATTTTACCAAATACCTAACGAAATTCATGAAAACATAAACCGCAAGGCAATTGCAACTAACGATATGAAATTTTCGCAGTGGGACTGATTAATTTAATTAAAATACTCGAAATAATTAAATAAAGTAAGAGAGAAATGTTTGAATCAAAGAAGAATATTTCGAAATTATTCCAAACTTCTCAAATTCTCATTACGTCATTCTGGCGAAACTACAGTTTCAAAAAATATTATTTGCTATGTAATTATTATAGATTATTCTGTTCTCAACGTTTTATATGCTTTAATGAATGAGTAATAGACGAAGTAACAGTTCGATTCCAAAAATTGATGAATTCAGAAATTGACGATTACAGAAAATTTGAAATAAAAACGTTGATTAATCATTTGAGCGTTGAATTTTACTTTGTACAAATATATAGTTTTGAAGAAACAATGCGAGTTTAACGCGTCCGCAGCAAAACCAATTTCGCGTGACATTTCATCAACGTGAATTGCACTGTTTTAAATTCGAATAAAGTACAAAATACGTACGTAATCACCCGACGAAATACAATATGTGTATTATGTGTGTATAAAGAGTGAACGCACAATAGTACCATTTTTTAAGGCCTTATTTTTCAATCCACGAGCAATTTAATTTAGCAGTAGGAATACGTCACCAGTAGTGCATGTCAATGCATCCACTGACAAACCATTGTGTTCATCTCAGCCACGCTTCATATTTCTCATTCTGAGATCAATAAATGGAATCAACAAATCACAAGTGAATTTTCTATTAATTTCGTTCGTCTGTTTCGAAGTAAAAACCAGAGAGTGTTTGAACAAAGATAGATAAATACAAATATTCCTCGGTTGATATATTGACTTGTACTACTGCCGATGTATTTCTCCAACTGAATTGATTGCTTGCAGCTTAGCAAATAAGTCTTGAACGAAATTTCTGTACATTTTTGAACTTGCTTCGTCGTATCTTAATATATAAAATCATATCTTACTTTAACTTTGCTCATTTCTTTTTTCATATCCTCTCATATTTTTACTTCTTCTTGTATGCATGTTTATGTTATATTCTTTATACGTTCGTTGTAATTCAAATTTATATTCAAAATATTCTACATTGGACTCTCGGAAAAAGTATGTCCCATTTCATGTATCTCTGGAGATTACTAACTTTACTTCAAACAACTATATCGAGCGAATCATGCTAAGTCTCCTTCTATTTTTAGTTTTTTCTTTTATAGTTTATTACCTTTCTTTAAGAACTAAGAGAAAATTGCAATACATAGTTCTTAACATGCTTAACATTAATTCCACGTTATATTTTATTTATACTTCTTATTATTATACTAAAGGGTGTTTATCATCAATAGTGTTTATTGTTATATTTTATTTATATTTCTTATTATTACATTAAAGTGTATTTATCATCAATAAATATCAGTATTATTGTTATGATCGTTGTCGCAGAAACTAATATTTGATTAATATAATTAATCAAATATTTTGATTATTTTGGTTCTTGATTGATCTGACTGATCTAATATGTTGTACGAAAATATCATCTGAAAACATTATATTCTACATGTATTAATTAAATATGGAAAGTTCATGTAAATACGAGTATATTCGTGGTAAAAGATATCTGTGAAAGTACATACATATACAGTAGCTGCAAAAAATATTTGCGCACATTCTGTTTTTGACCATTTCATTTTCATAGTATCAAATTCTTAGTTATACGAATACCAACACTTATTGATACGCTAATACAACTGACACCTTTTGCATACTTGTGAATGATTAAGTATTAAATAATAATCATTAAACGTACGTGATTGAAATTAATTAATCTAATTTGATGTGAATAATAGTGGCAGTAATTTATTTCATGCTTCACGATTTTGAAAGAGGGTAGTGTACAATCTTTTACAATCCATTATTATTATATATCATCTGATAAATTCATTACGATCAATGAAAGAAAAAGGAATTCATTATTAATATTTGTATGTATGAACATACAAATGTTTCATTTCGGACATTAGGGATTCATGGAAGAACGGGGAGAGTGCACATAAAAATAGAGAATAGAAGAAGAATACGCGGTCATGCAAAGCTTTAGATTGACGTGACCGAACACATCGCAAAAATATTTGCATAGCTTGTGTGAAGCGAGTGAGAAAAATAGTGTACTAGAAGAAGATAGTATGCTTGGATATTGGGCTATATCTCGTGGAAAATATGCGCACTGAATATTTTACACTATCATTTTCTTTTTTTTTTTGTACGACGAGTAATTTGCATGTTTTATTCTATGCTTGAACTGCAATATTCTCACTGAACTCTACATTTAGAAATGATTTCTCGCACAATCATTCATTACATTTTTATTTCTGTACAAATGTTTTCCGCAATTCTACCACAAACGAAAATGGAAATACTGAATAAAATTGTTTCAGGTATTTTTCTGTTCAAGCACAATGATTGTACAATTCTTGTATTTTCTTTTCCCTTACAGATTAATTTTCTTTGAACTCCTACTAGCACACATAGACATATCCTCCTTCCAATTTCATCCGCAAAAAAAATATGCAATTTGCCAAATTTATCTATCTATAATTTAGGATACAATCTAATTTTCAAACACTAAAATAAATGCCTGTTATTACACTATTCCAATATTATTTAGATTCAAACCATATATGCTCTATAGTGAAGTAGCATTATCAATTTAACTCAAATTTGTATTACATTAATTTTAATTACATGTGAGAGATATGAACAAATTCTTGTTTCCAAAATCCAGCACATGAACGTTGCAAAATGCTATCGATAAATTATCGATATTGCGATATTATGAATATTAATAATATACTGATTAATAATAAATGAATATGAATAACATACTGATAACATTATTGAAATATCGATAAACCAAATGACGTAGAACGTAACATGTAGTGTAGTAAATTTATTATTCATTCAAATCTGTTAAGGCCAGTGGTAAGTGCTCCAGGCTCAGCGTGTCAAATTAGGAAATTTTTTTGCAGTTCGCAGGTCATAGATCAATTGGAGAATTTCCGACTAGGCATAAGTTTCAATTAGTTTGAAGATTTTTCCGCACAATAGGAATTACCATGTCATGAACACGTGCGTACCGAAAGTAGTGTCCAGGATTTCCAGATTTCTCATCCACACGAGTCACCCTCATGGTGTGGTGAACGAGAAATTCTGAAAATCTCCTAATCTCAGAGTCCTTTGGAAAGGACGGTCTTGTTACACAAGGGTAATTCAAGGAAATCACAATAACTAATCATCCAGGATCAACTGACTCAGTGACTAAGCACCCAGTAATCGAGTTCAGTTTTTAGAGACGAGTCAATTCAGTCAATATTCGGCTAATCAAATCCTTCGAAATATTTCATTTAGACAGAGCTCTAGCTGTTTAAATCGCTTTTGAAGCCACCAGGCTTATTGTACAATAAAGGCAGTGTTAATTCAAGTTATTATTAATTCAAGTTGGAGTTATTCATTTTCCACGTCAGTGGGTGATATTTCTGATGGAGTATCTATCTATCTGATGTTTTGATCGATATCAATCATCCGTGTCCTAGACAAAACATCATCTTGAATTTCGAAATTAATTTTCTTTCTCCAACTTAACGAACTTTTGGCTTAATACCTTTTACTTGTTTCTAAAAATGGAAAAGAATATATTTCAATTATCGTAATGAGAAATGTTGCAATTTTAAAGATACATATCTTTAATCGACGTCAAATAACGAAGATTCAATGATTTTTGCTTTTAAAGTAATATTTTTTGCAAGATAAACGACTATTTATAAATGTTTCAAGTAACAAATTCAATACCAAATACAGTTTTCAATTTTATTCACTTTATAAGACGTAATACATATTCTTTTTTTATGTTAAATAAAACGAATTCAATCGGATTTATATTTCCAATTCATTGATGTCGTTCAATTCATGATTACTTAATAATGTTACTCAGAGACAGCTTAACTGAATCATTAATGGATCCATTATGATCCATTAAGAATTAAGCAACAATTTATCATAATGCTATAAAATTTTATAAAATTCTAGATCGAAGAAACAACGATAAAAAGAATATTAACACTTTCACCGTATGCTTAAATATTTAGCGCATGATTATATATTATGTTATAAAATTTTCAAAATGATAATTCTGTTTCAACTAATGTTCCAGAGATTCTAAAACGTGTTTGGTAGTAGCAAACATTTTTGCTCCAAACATTCTCACCGAGAATGTGTCAACTTGGAATCTCGTCCCATAGTGCCAACAGTAAAAAATATAAGTTATTAATACAAGTTACTAGTATAAAAAAAAACGTAAATTACTAATATACAATAGTCGAAAAGAATCGCGATGTGAAATGTTGCGTGAGTGCAACATTTCCACTGTGATATTCATCTGGGGCTAAAAATTTAACGTGTAGCAATTACATTAACTCGACGCATCCTACCCAAATTCGCACAATTAGAACCTGTAGCACTACCGGTAGCATCACAGTTTACATTGTAACATATAAATCAGTTTGATGCGAACACTTCCGCTAAACATATACGCTTGCAACGGATGTTTGTTGCAGCGTAGGTAGATATGTGCTGCGTAGGTAGTTTGTCTACCGGAGACGATAATTTATAGAAGGAAGCGAATGAACAACGATTCAGAGATGGCGAAAAATATTTTAACTTGCATATACTCGACGTACAATCAAATCTTCAAAAAACAGAATGTTGCGAACCTGTAGTAGCTACTGTGACGAATCGATAACTTTGGTAGTATTAATTTACAAAATTACAACAAGCTAAAATTAATTAAGTTAGATTAATAATTAAGTTGGAAAAATTTTATTA